TTTGGAAATCTATGCGGATGCAGATGGAATGTCGTTGGAAAACAGGAAGGCCGTTTCAGGCTATGCCTTTGTGTTGAATGGAGCGGTGGTTTCTTGGTCGTCGAAACAACAGGAGATTGTATCTCTTTCAACGACGGAGGCTGAATATGTGGCCATCACCTACACGGCGAAGGAGGCCATTTGGTTCCGTTATTTCATGGCCGAACTTTTCGGGTCCATCGAATTCCCGTTCATCATCTACAACGACAACCAGTCGGCGATTTCACTTGCACACGCCGAACTGGGTCAATTCCATGCACGCACCAAACACATCGACATACGCTACCATTTTATTCGGGAGCAGATCGAGAAGAGGACTCTAGAGGTTGTTTATTGTCCAACGGCTGAGATGACGGCGGACGTTTTCACGAAGGCGCTGGCCGCTTTCAAGTTCAAACCCTTGGTTGGAAAGTTGGGGTTGATTCTGGTTTGAGGGGGAGTGTTGGAGTCGTCGTGGTATGAAGCAAACCAGAGCGAAGAGACGGGCAGTGCACGCCACCGAGCAGTGCATGCAACCGTCTCGTAGCTATCAAACGTAGTGATGAAACGCGTCTCGTACGCCACAAAGCTGTTCGTTTGCTGGGATACTTGGCTGTGTTCTTGGTCTCTATCTACGGTATCCTAGCTACTAGAAAGGTATAAAAGCAAGCCTGTATTCGCACTTTGAAAATAGAACTTTACCCCCCATCCGTGCATACACATATATCTTTATTTTCTACAACGCGTGCCACCCACTTCTGCGCCTACTCTCTCCTAGGGTTATGATCATGAACCTGTCCCCACTGCGCAGCGACGGCGAGTTCCGCTCCAGATCCCCTCGACACTGATTGAAGGGCTCAAAAGGTTGAGTGCAACATTTTACAAGTAAATAATGAGGGGACGATACAGTGTAAGAAGCCTATGGCTGTGAGCTGACCTACGACCAAATCATGTAAGAGCCGTGGAAGAGCCGTCCATCAGTTAAATCGGCCGAAAAGTGTGAATCGGGAGTCAATGTACCGAGATGCCGCACCCTTGATCACCGATCATTATCTCATCAAGGCAGTGCACCTGGCTTACGTGGCAGCATCGCCCTCCGTCCTGTTCCTGACCAATTCCTGACATTCATTCTGAATGCTGTACTGTCGATTCCACCATGCCTACAGCCCTCTTCGACTGAATCCATCCCGGATAGAGCCCAGCCGACACTCAGGCTCCCTTCTCGCTCCCGTCTCGTCCCATCGCCGATCGGTCTTCCCGCATCTCTGAAACTTCTCCGTGCACTAGTCCAGTGGCGCTGATAGGAGGATATAGCTCCGTCCGCTGCTATAAACACTCAGCTCAGGCAATAAAAGGCAGGGCAGCATCCAGGAATGACTCGATTCTCCAGCGCCATCACACAGTAAACGCCGGTGCGCACAGCCCTTCCTTCACGTACTGCTGTTGCCTGTGGCTCGTTGACCGCGCGAGGCTTCCGAATACGGCAATAAAACAACGACTCAAGGCGGAATACACCTTCGCGCAGCCGTTCATATAACGGATGCTCCGGTGCTACGACTTTCTCCTCACATTCATCTCTTTCGCCTGCTGGTGCTATATCCTCAACACGCTGTCGGATATGACTTTCAAATGGGCTAAACCTACCAATGTGAGTCTCTATACAACTGGAGAACTGGGCGCTGATGGTCCGTGAAAGGCACGAAATTTGGTGGCACAGTGTGCAGAATACGTGATCCCAGAAGACGAATTCACGGATGTTGAGTTGATCGGCTCGGGACACGCTCTCGTTCTCTCCCGGGCTGTCCACCGCGGCCAGCGAGTTGTGATTAAGCGTTGGCACGCCGCCCTTCTCGATGACAAGGCACGTGTCGTGTTCACCAAGGTGAGTCTGCGAATCCCGTGTACTTGATGCAACTTAAATCACACTGGCACAGCGCCTCGTCCGCGAGTTGGATTCTTGGCGGAGAGTCTCTCACCACCCGAACATCGCCCCCGTTCTAGGTGTGGCGTTGCACATCTCGAGCCTCCCCGCGCTTGTCGTGCCCGAGCTACGTACGGTCATGCAAGCCCTCACAGAAGATTCGACTGTGGACATTTTGCGTCTCGTACGATCACTTCTTCGTCTTCGGTCCCTGTTCTTGATCTTGAATTAATCGCCAGATGCAAGGCACCGCTTCAGCCCTCCTTCATCTACACACCCAATCCCCACCTCTCGTACACGGTGATCTCAAAGGCTCGACCGTATTCGTCTCACCCTCTGGCACAGCGTTGCTCTGTGATATTGGTATCGCTCAAATCCCACAGCCCCCCGAGTGGACCTTTAGCGGCGTGGAGGACGCCAGATGGTTAGCTCCTGAGATCATGGATGTTAATTTGCGGCCTTGCACAGGCGGGCGTGGAGATCCAGAGGAGGCATGGGATGCAGATGGTGGGCGCACACCCGAGGGAAGGATGGGCGTTACGTGCGAGAGCGATGTTTATTCGTTTGGCATGTTGGGTTATCAGGTGCGTCCTTGTTTTGTTGTCTCTGTCGTGGACTCGATCCGGCATGCAGATGCACACCCGCACCCAACCCTTTGCCTCGCTCACCTGGCCTGCAAGCGTCGTCGTGCACGTCGTCTCGGCGCGGGGACGACCACTGCGGCCGTCGGTGGAACAGAGTCCACAGTTGAGCGATGAGATGTGGGAGTTGATACAGTCTTGTTGGAAGCATGAGTGGGATCGGCGGCGTGCGTCTTCTTTTCTTTCTTGACGAGTGTCTAGAATTGATGGTTGGGCAGCGACGATGAAGGCTATAGCTGCCTGGCTTGCGGTACTGGAGCGTGTACGCGCCGTGGATTCTTCACTGTCTGCTTCGACTTGTGCGAGCACGGAATGAACGTTAGACCCTTTTCTTTCCTTGTGGATTTTTCTTGGAATTTTGTGCTCGTTCAATTTGTATAAGAGGGATTCAGTAATCCATCGGGCAAGAATCCAACCGATGAATTCCTATTACTAGTACTACGACTAAGTAAAGTGTCCTACGTCGCCGAGTCCATATCTAACTCCACTGGTCAGGGTCAGCATCGGCAAACGTGCTCCCCATGCCGATCTGGTCATACCAAACCTGCCTGAACGGCTGAGTCCCTTTCATCTCACCGTCATCATGCCACCCATTCGCATACAAGCCCAGATGAAACTGAAACTCGCGCGTGTCGTCAATCGTCGTGTCGATGTTATACTTCTCCAGCACCTTCTTCCCATCAAGCCACATCTTGTACCACCCCGTCCCGTCGTTCTGCCAATTCGCCTGGATGACGATCTTGTGCCACTTCCCCTCGGAGACCGTCGCGAGATTCTTGTACTCGGTGATCGACTGATCGCAGACGGAGCCGGTCTTGACGCGGGATGCAAGCTGGTTGCCGATAATCCACACCATACTCGACGGCATCCAATCATCGCACCCCGTATCGGTGAAATCCGCGATGAACTGCGCGAGATTGTACGATTGCGCCGGGGAGAATTGCCACGCCTCCTGCAGACGGAAGGCAAAGCCGTAAAAACCTTGCTGGCCGCGGTGGTAGCCTTGGTAATGCTGCACTTCGGAGTGATAGCGCCCGGTGTACGAGGCATCGTAGTTTGCGTCATCTTGATGGCGCTACCGCTGTTGCCATAGACCACATTGGTCACCTGGGAGACTGTGCCGAGGTGCTCCTTCAGGATGAAGTCCCAGCCCGAGGTGGTACCCCGGTTCGCGAACGTTTGGGTGAAAGAGGAGTTGGAAGGGAGGGCGAGGGGTACTTGGCCGAGTACTGGGCTGTCGAAAGAGTCGGAAGTTGGGATGGCAGCGCAGAGGGCCGTGAGCAAGGCGAGGAGGACGGGGGTCGTTGAGGTGGCTCTCCAAGATCTCACGGTATTTATATGTCCGGCGCCCGTACAGTTTTTCAAAGGGGTCGTCTGCCAAGTCCCTCTTCGCGGAGGTATGGAATACAACGCCGTTGATTTGATAACAGTGCTGTTGGGGGATCCTGACGTCATTTCCAGAGGCAGCCAGCTGGGTGTTTTGGATTCATCCGGCTGGTTTTCGGAAATTGTGGTTCCATCTCCCTGCGAGAAACTCGTCAGTCTATGCAGCGACGAAAAGATTCAGGAAAATAAAGGAGCCAGGGAAACCGGGGGTCCAATGGAGTCACACTCTCGAGGTAGGCCATCTGTTCTGCCGACAACGAAATGTCAAGGGCTTCGAGGTTCGAGAGACTTGAGGTGCTCGACCTTGCGACCGCCAACGATAGGGAAGCAGTAGGGCACCTTCTGCATCACGTAGGCGATCGCCACTGAAGTCGTTCAGCAAGATTATCAAAGAGAGTGAACAAAGGATGCACCAGCAGTGATGCTATTTGTCCCCACTTCCCCAGCAACCTTCTCAAGGGCAGCGGACATCCTTTCTAGTCCTCGGATCTCTCCCATTGAGGACCTCGAATCGTACGCCCATTTTCTCCTGTCGTGCTACGTCGTTCCTCCTCGGCATCGGTGCGGAACTTTCCACCGCCGACGACGTTCCACGGCGCGAGCGCAAGTCCTGAGCAGAGTAAGTTATTGGATCTGCTGGATGGGATGGCGATACCGTGAGCCCGATCCATTGGGATAATCTCGCGCTCGAAAGAGCGTTCCATGACGTTCCAAGCGCCCTGGGAAATAGCAAATGGCGTCTTGCCGTGATCGCGCGCGTACTGATTCGCCTGCGAGACCACCCATGCTGGGGTGTCCGAGATGCCCTGCCATTCTTCATCAGCCAAGATTTAAACATCGTCCGAGTCCATGGGACCACGCACCAAGTAAAACACCTTTCCCTGCACGACGAGGTTATGCAGCCCGTTCATTACCTCCTCCACACCCGTATCCCAATCCCACCAATGTACGTACAGAATATCGATATACGTCTTGCGCAGTTTCTTGAGACTGGCCTCGACGCTGATGTGCTAATTGGTCAGATACAGAAGAAATCGGACGTAGTGTATAGCAAGCACGCCAAGCACTCTCATAGATTCGGACTTCGTGCCTTTGCCTTTGGGAGATCTGGGTTCGATTCCCAGCGTCCGAATTTTGTAGACAACACGCGGTATTTTTTTCTCTCTCTCTCCTTACACTGCGAAAGCTGATTGACGTCACGGTGGTTTTACTCTCAACAACCATGGGATTGCGGCCAATTGGCGGCATCCCATTGAATTCTTTCTTGGAGCTTAAGGCCACTGATTCAACTACGCTACGCGCCTTTGATGGATGCTACACTCGCCTCCGAAACTACTTGTGAATGAATCTACGACTCGATGTACAGTTCGACCTTCAACTGTGCACCTATGCAGCAGCGAGCCCGAGACTTCACATGAACTACCGCCACACCGAAATTGCGTCGCATCGTTCAGCTGAAAGTGCTATATGAGATTTGTATGAGATCCGGTATTGGCTGGAGTTGGAATTGGTCTGAAGAAATGGGATGTAGTGTATAGCCAGCACATCCAAGGATTGTCAGAGTTTCGGACTTCCGTGCCTTTGGGAGATCTGGGTTCGATTCCCAGCGTCCGAGTAGGAATCAATGGTACCTTTTTTTCTGTGTTGTGTGCGTCTTGAAGTCCGAGTTTTAACTGCAGCGGCTCCGGTCCCGTAAGCCTATTCTTGAGAAAAGAACCAGTATTCCCACGACGGCGTTCTCAAGGCCGTTATAGCAACTCACGGCGATCTCTGCTGTGCAACCACGCGACTGATCGGAGCTATAAATAAGTGATCGCGACCCCGCAAAAAATGAACAATTCATGGAATCAGAGGAGGGATGCTCAGGGCATTGTCGACCGCATGTCTCAGGTTTGCTGCATGGATGCCGGAGGGAAATTCAAATAATACAAATACAAAGATCAGGTACGCACGCCAAGCTCCTGGTTACGCGGTCAATCAAAGCCGGATCCGGGATGTCACACCATTTTCCTCACCTCTTTCTCTCTCCCCACCACCACGACGGCAGCCATGTCCGGATCCACTCTTTTGCTTTCCATCCTCGCGCTCTCCTCCGTCGCCCGCGCCGACTACTTCTCCAAGGACCCTCTCAACCAGAAGGTCGTGCCCCATGACCAGATCGTGCGTCTCCTCTGTGCCAGCTGGCGTCGAAAAGCTAACTGCCAAGACAGCCATACCAAGTCATGACCGATACCGATGACCCCCGTGGCTTCCAAAGCGGGTACAACCAGTGCAACTCCACCACCGAAAACCAGGAATCGCTCTGCCAGACGATGTACGTCAACCACATCGACGGTCCGTACCTTGTTCTTGTCTGAGACTGTCAGAATTCTGACGCTTCTTGACAGATTGGTGTCTATGGGCGCCCGCTCCTCCCAACACTCCGTACGCCCACGCCCCTCTCCTGTCTTTCCGTCCCTGACCCGCTTCACTGCCAGCATCTCCGAAGCCGAGGGCGACGTCGTTGCTTGGTGCTCGAAGGCCGGCCACGGTACCCGTATCATCCCTGCTGGCGCTGTCACTGGTCTGCAATTCGTCCAGACCCAGTCCTACATCCAGGTCGCCGGTACTATCAACCAGGCTTTGCTGAATGTCGGTGGTACGGACGGTGGTGAGCTCGACTCGGGAGGACAGGACGGCGAGGGTAACCCTATGGGCGGTCTCGTTTACTCCAACTCTTTCCCCAGCAGCAACGGCGACAACAACACCTTTGCGCAGGTCCAGCGCTGGAGCTTGTGAGTCGATTGTCCGTTTTCCGTTTTGCTTCGGTTCGGGCCGTTGCGAGGCCGACGACTCGGCCCTTGCCGATAAGCATACGGGCGCACATTCTCTCCGCTTGGCCTATCTCCCTATCTCCGTCTCCGTACTGTCGCTGACCACCCTCCCCAGCTTCATCGGCAACAATGCCTTCTGCGGCAAGGTCTGCGACATGACCGGCAAGAACCCCGCTGGTCTCTGCAACAACATCTACGACCGTCTCGGCTGTGACTACAATGCCCCCAACACCGCTCAGGAGGGTACCTTTGAGTTCGTGAGTACTAATCTCCTTCCCTTACCTCCGACACTGACACTCTTCCTTCCCTACAGTGCAAGGGCGACGACATGATCCCCGTCGGTACCTACGTCGTCAACGGCGTCACCTCGGTGTACACCCAGCCCCCTGAGGCCTCGCCCATCGACTACGACAACCTGCCGTACACGGCCACTCCCGCTCCTACGAGCAGCTGCATCACGTACCAGAGTGCGGACCTGTTTGCGGCGGGTGCGACGATTAGCGGTGGTGAGTGATTCCTTCTTTGTCGTTTCTTGAAAGAGAGCGGAGGCAACCGAGGAGGAGGCGTCGTGATGGGCAGCATGCCTGTATTGTCACTCCCCGTGCCTGGTCATGTCTCCATTGCCTGCCTCCCCTCGCCCCTCCTACTGCCCCTATTCTTTGTCTATCATCTCTCATCCGCCCTGACTCATACTGACCTACCCTCTCTAGCCTCAGCGCCAGCCTCGGCCTCCGCCACTCCCTCTGGAAGCGCCTCCGCCTCCGCCTCCGCCTCCGGCTCCGGCTCTGGCTCTGGCTCTGGATCTATCCCTGCTGGCGCCGCCACCTCTGCCAAAGCCTCCACCCCCGTCGCATCCACCAAGCCCTCCTCCGGCTCGTCTTCTGGTTCGGGCGCAGCGGCGTCTCCTAGCGCTAGCGGCTCCAGCGGTGCTGCTGCTGCGTGGGGCGTTTCCGGCGCTGCGGTCGTTGCTGGTTTCGTTGCTGTGTTTGCGCTCTAAGTTTTCTTTCTTTCTGGGATGCTACGGACGGACTCTCTTTACAACGACGGCGGGGATTTATGGGATTCAATTCGTACATATAATACCTAGTGACCACAGGAGATTAGATAGATTTCTAGCTGATCTCCTCACACACCCCTTTTAATCTCGGCATACGTACCTACGTACGGATGCGATGCTTTGCATCGAGTGGGACTTGGCTTTTTTTCTGGCTGTCCCCTACTCTGTCAAGAGGAGGGTTCTGTGGCTGAATGGTCTGATGGCCTGTAAAACTCACGCCATCAATTGAAATTTGTGCACGATGACCCGATGTTCCGACACCAGCAGATCATGATCAACCCGTGTTCCGACACCGCATGCAGACCTACCGGCAGCGGCAGCCGCAGTTCGGCAGGGTGAAAGCGGACGGCCATCAAATTGAAGTGAATCAAACAACAACTTAACAAGAGTCAAGCAAGAGTAAGTAGGGGGACGGTGCTTGCACCGCTATGGATCTGATTCAGACATGACGGTCGTCAGGACGAAGCGTCGTTGATTTGTTTGCGACCGCCTTTTGGATCTTTGTCACGATTTGTCAGCGTCAGTGCCGTCACCGCTTTTGCTCTGGTGCTTCCACCACAATTACCAGCAAGGCTGGTCGGACTCGTAGCTGGTACTCTTTCTGGCGTAGGCCGCTCTACCCACGCTCCTGACACTCCCGCCTCCCGTGAGACTCAGACGCCAGGGGCGGCGTCTCCCGAGTCCCGGCTAGTCACCGCTTCGCTCCAGGCTCCGCATCCACCATTGCCTCACTCTCTGCATTCTAATCTTACGCTGGCAATTACAACGCACGGAGGCTGCGGTTCTGATTCTCTGGTTCACTTCTGCAAATTCAAATACGATACAGACCCGAAGAAGGCTTCAAGAAGCACGCATGCATGGGCCATGGGGTCTGTCCTGGTCTGTCCTTTTCCAAATTTGGCCGGAATCTTCGTCCCACATAGGGATGGCATGTGCATATGGTAACCCGGGTTTCAAGCACAACTCCAGGTTGGTCTACGTTTGGAGTACAACATTTCTTACGGTTTCAACTTGGTTCCAACAACTCCCCGGATTTCAACCTCCATGGTGTGGTGTAGTGCCGTTAGCTAGAATGCCGATTGATTGAGTATCGGCAGATTTGATGGTGCAGAGGTTCGGTTCAAAAGATAAATGGCAGATCAAAATATTCAGTTGGCTTGCACTGCCAGATTTGATGCTCTGCCATGTATGAATTTTCTTAAAAGACTCAGGGAAGCATCATATCAACTTCCAAAGTGGTTGGGCATTAGGTGCGAGACAGAGAAAGTAAGCATTCCAACAAGTTCGGAATACTTAGCCTATCAGTATCGCATCACTGCCAACATTATCGGCACATCGGCAGAATCACGAAGACTCTTTTTGAAAAGGAGTGAATATCCTGCAGATGTTATCCAAGACGCGACCCCCCAAGATGGGATCCAAACACCGAATTACAATTGAAATGCGACCCAGAGCCTGCACTCTGAAAGGGAAGTAATTTTATCCGTTCTTTAAGATTATGGCTCCATCTTTGATTCTTCTGCAGATCTGTCCCCATTTGTGCAACACTCATTGCATACTAGTCCTCTCCCATCTAGCCCAGCAGCCAATGGTCTCCCTCGAGATTGATGTTCATTTTTTCCCATTGAAAGCCGGGACTCAACAGCTTCTCAGACCATGTGCCGCCGGCTTCAGGCCACGTATGCCTGCCGGGAGCTGCATAGGTGCGTTAATCAGAAATCTGAGAAGCTCTACAGCTTTGCTTGGCAGATCGCAGTTCCGCCGGTTCAACAGCCTCGAAAACCGAGACGCGCGTCCCTTCGGCGCAGCTGAATATATACTTGGCTTTGTTCTGTCCGCACTGGAATCATTCTTTCCCCTCCCTCCGTCGTTTCCTCGGCGTAATTTGTTCTTACTCATTGCTTGGGGCCTCGCCCTTCAACACCAAATTGCGCGTTCTCTTCTTCCCTTTGATCCTCGCTGCTTGCCTACTACAACAAGCAAAATTGAGAACACCGGACGGCTTGCCTTAACCTCACTCCATTTACCCATTCACCCTCTCCACAATTTGTCATTCAGCAATCTTCAAGAATCACCGTCAACTGTGCCGTCGCTTCAAGATCTGTGGTTTCATTTCTCCCTGCCTGGCCCCGTCGTTCGTCCACAGCGAAACCTGCATATCAAGTAGCAAGGGTCGTTCTCCCTCGCAACCTACAGGCTACTGTCTGGGAGCCTCTGGGCAGCCTACGGCCTTCAATCTCCTCAAGATTGTAGACACCCCCA